GCATCTCGGATCTATAAAAGATCTACGGCCCCAAAATTCATAAAGTACAAACATGAACCACAAGGGACTACAAAGGACCGCAAACGAATATGCCGAAGAACGTGGGATCTATAAAGACCTGATCAGCAAAAATAATAATGTAGACATGGTCAGATTCAAGGGTTACGAGATATGACATCATAAGTAGGAGGTGGTCAAGCCAGTTTGAGTGATAGTACAAGTAATTTTTTTTATTAAACTTTTTTCAACAATGAAAGAAAATCTTGTGGATAAAATAATGCAAAGTGCTTATTTGTGTGCTATGATTTATGTCAAACACAAAAAAAAAAAATCACCACGGTCAGTTAACCTGACTTCTAATTCTTGGTAAAATCCGAGATGGTGGCCAATATGGCAACCATTGTTGGTGACGTCACAGGCCCCCAGCAGTGCCACCACCCATAAAATATACCTCATCTTTTAGAGAAGATCAGAGGCTTTCCACTGAAGGTAAAATCGTTTTGAAATACTGCAACAAAACAAAAATTCTATGGGGTGGGGGTTCCATCCCCCCCTTGTACCACTCTTGGGGGTTTGAATTTCCGTGTACGTCCAAGGGTTAAGTTTGACGTGGACCAGTGGCACCCAGACTGCGAACAAAATGTTTATTTATATTCAAGAGTAATAAGCTGGCTCTGCATGTTAACCTTGTTTCAATGATTCTTAGATCAATAGAAATAACAACTTGTTAGAAATTTAAAACAAATTTCATATCAAAACTCTTTACATATTTTTTGTTTAGGCCACAACTTGAAACATTGCAGGCTATAGACAAAATTTTTAAAATCATCTAGGGGTGGGGGCGGGGGCGGTAATTAAGCGTGGTTTCATATCTTGCTTGAAACTCGTGCTTAAGTTGGGGCGACACCATAGGGATCTCAAAATCTGACTTTCCTGACAATTTTGTGGCCTAGAATTCAGATACAAAACTTCAAGAGCTTCCACTGCAGAGGAGTAGACTCCGATCGGCCTAAATCAGAAGAACCTTTTTTATTTCTATTCTTTTCTTCTCCTTAGTTTTCTTTTTCACGCTGGAGGTGCTATTTAGTTGCACAAGTTCAGTTTAATGTATTGTTTGTTTTGAAAAGTTGTTTTAATTTAGCAATGCTAAAAAAAACAAGTTTTTTTTTTCTCACTGTGTGCACATCGTTAGACTCATTGATGCCAACATAAGAAAACCAGTGTCGAACTTAAAGGATAGGATAGGATAAGTGCTTTATTATCAACAGAGCGCCTACAGACACATGTGTTTACAATGATAACAAAGATTTTCGTGCAATAATTACAGACGTGTACATTTGTAAAATTTATACAACTATTAAACAAGGTTATATTTAACGCGTCTATCTCTTTCACGGAAGCGATCATATACGTATTTAGCCACAATTTTTTGCGTTTTCTCTCCTTGCTTCATACTTATCAACGTTGTAAAGGCAGAGCTTGGAGTCATAGAGTCAAGAATAAGATTAGTTTCCTTTTTTAGCGTATTGAACAGCTCTCTCCTAGGATCCCTATAGGCTATGCAATTCATCAAAAAATGCTCCTCGTCTTCTAATCCAGTTTTACATAATGGACAGATTCTTTGGTCTGGTGGTTGATAGGGTTTAACGTATCGTCCAGTTTCAATTGCTAGTTTGTGGTTGCTTAATCTTAGCTTTGTGATTGCTACTCTATGATTGATGTTTCTTACATTTGTGAGGTAATTTTCGTAGTCATGGGTAAGTTTAAATTTCCTAAAAGTTCTTAGTTTGTTTTTTTGATGCGGGTCCTTTCGTTCATCATTGTGTATTTCGCTAATCCATGTTTGCTGTTCTATGTCTAAGAGTCTCTGTCGTATATAGTTCATGATTGCGGGAGTGTTAGTTTTCGCTGACCATATGTCGCCAAGACCTGCGAGGTTTAATAGTCGTTTTAATTTGCTTGACCAAAGTTCCTTTTTATCTTGACCAATTTGGTCTGTAAATGCTATTCCAGAGAGTTTATTTTGGTGCTCCGGCTCACAAAATTTCAGCCAATATTTAATGGCCCTGCACTTTGTCTTCGTTCGCATTGGGAAACGGCCTACCTCCGATCTGCACGCATTTGAGCTACAGAATTTGTTAACTCCCAATAGCCACCTTATTAACTTTGTTTGAACAAACTCAATTGGATCATTTTCTAGCTTTCCGTCGTGATCGACCCCCCAGACCTCGCTTCCGTAGGTGAGTATTGGGGAAATAACCGTGTCAAAAATTTTCATTGTGAGCTGTACATCGTCTCTGAAATGGTCGCCCATTTCCTTCCTGAGTTTGTACAAAGCTTTAAGGGCAACCTTCTTTATCTCCTGTTTAGCGTACGTGAAGGTCCCATAAGTACTAAATTGTAGGTCAAGATATTTGTAATTGCTAACATTGTCAAGTTTACTGCCTCTATAGTATAATACGTGCTTATTCATGGTTCTCCCGCAGTTATTAAAAATTAACACCTTAGTTTTATTAAGGTTAACCGACAAGTCGTTTTCTTTGCAGTATTCACTGAGGGAATCCAAATAATTCTGCAGTCCGTTTTTTGATTTGGAGAATATGACCAAGTCATCCGCGTAAAGCATACAACTTAACGGTAACTCGTTTAGTTCTACGTCATTTAGGTTCTTGGCCTTAATTAAGTTTCTCTGAAAGGTCACTGAGATAAAGGTTAAAAAGGGTTGGCGAGAGCATGCAACCTTGTTTTACACCGGTATGGCATCGAAAGGCGGGTGTTAGCATATTTTCAATTTTCACAGATGATTTATCATTAGAGTACATTGAATGTAAAATCTCAAGGAAGCGCCCCGTTACTCCCGCTAGCTTCAATTTTTGAAACAGTTTCCCTCTGGGGATACTATCGAATGCTTTACTAAAGTCAACAAAGCAGGTGAATAAAAGGTTATTTGATTTTTTGGGTTTAGATCTAACATATTTGTCTGTTAGTGCTTTTAAAATGAAGATACTGTCCTGTGTACCATGTTTTTTTCGGAAGCCACATTGTTCTGGAGTAATTATGCCCTTTTCAATTAGATAGTCACAAAGCCTGCTATTCATTATTGAGGTAAAAATCTTTCCCATCGCTGATAAGAGAGTAATCCCTCTATAATTCTCTGGGTTGGACGGATCATCTTTTTTGAAGATTGGTATAATTAGGCCATGACTCCACAGGGTAGGGTACCTACCACTGGTTAGGATTTTATTGAAAAGGATTGTGAGAGGCCCTTTTAAGGCCTCTTTGCCATGTTTGAGCAGCTCGCATAAAATGTTATCTACTCCCGGGGCCTTTCCAGTTTTTAAGAGGTCGATAGCAGTTACCGTTTCCTGTTCAGATATTTCATAATCTAGGGGGCCCAAGGCCTCTGATCTTGTTAGTATGAGAGAAATGGGGGATGGGGGAAGTTTTCTTTGAATCTTCTTATTAATTCACCTCGAGAGTGGATTTATTTGAACATGAAACCCACCTCGCTTTGTCATTGGAAAATTAGACGTTCGGCTTTTCAAATCTAAACGGCTGATTTCCCAATTGAACACACTTTTAGTGATTCTTCTGTCCAATCTTTATTTGTTCCGGCACTTCCTCGACTTAAAGTCTACTGTAGCCTTTGCTTCTATGTATACATACATTAACCGTCTGTTCAATTTCTCTTAACCCTCCGACGTACAAGGGGGGGGGGGGGGATGCCCCCCCCATGAGATTTTACCCCCCATGAGATTTTCTAAATTTTTTCCTAGAGGACAAAACATCAGCACCTGACGTTTTCAGTGGCTGTTCATTCACCCCTCGCGCACATTTTGAGACAAGTTTAGTGATGGTCGGTTGTTATGGTTACGAGCTATGACGTCACAAGTAGCAGGTGGTCAAGCCAATTTTGGGTGAAAATACATGTTTTTTCAACTTTTCTCAACAATAACGTAAATCTTGTGGCTAAAATCATTCAAAGTGCTCATTTATGTGTTAATATTTCATGTAAAGCACAAAAAAATTACCATTTTTCGCAATTTTAACCTGATTTCTACTTCTTAGTAAAATTCAAGATGGCGGCCATGATGGCGACCTTTGTTGGTGACGTCACAGATCTCCAGCAGCGCCACCACTCCTAAAATATACCTCATCTTGTTAAGAAGATCAAAGCCTTTCCACTAAAGGTAAAATCGTTTCAAAATACTGCAACATATTAAAAAAAAAAGTCCGGAGAGGGGTTTCATCCAGCCCTCCTTGTATCAAGGTGGGGGTATGAATTTGCGTGTACGTCCGAGGGTTAGTTCAGAGCGATTTACAAGGCTCACTATATTTTATAATAATAATAACATAATAAACTGTTTAATAATCATCATTGCATTCAAATAACGGAATTGCAAGGATAAAATACAGGCTTCAAAAATTTACACTATTCAACAATGCTACGCATATATACTACTACTAACCATTTACACAGTGTACACTCTTCTAAAATACGGTGGTTAAGTAGACTTTAAGGATTAGCCTACTAGGTACTCCTGCTTTAATCAATTTCCTAAATATTTGCAATGAGAATAGGCGCTTTGATATCATAGTTACTTATATACACTAATTCGTCATCGATGCTTAAGGTCCCTAATATAAAGTATTAAAACTAAAGCTGAGGCTACATTATGCTTGGCGCCCGGGAAGGGTCTCCACGGGCACCTATTCCAACAAGCCTATGCCTAGCAGCCCAAGCGTTTTGGCGATCCACAACGTTATTGCCAAGAATTATGGCTGTCGATACAAAGTTATTATTATGCATGGAATTAACTAAATAATCAGTTCTTTGCACTTTTTGGGTTTAAACTCATATTGTGGTCACTAAATTGTTAGTGATACTGATTAGCAACTATTACTTTTATCATTTTGCGCCCCCCCCCCTACTAACGATTTAGTGCGATAGCAACATTTTCTCTTTGATGACATCTAAAAAATGAGAGCAGAGCTTTCTTAAAGTCCGACATCCTTATTGCATATAAAATGGGATTTACAAGAGAGTTTGCATAAAACAAAAAACGCAATAAATAACGTAAACTTAAACCTTCTGGATAAGCAATACGGTAATTACAAATATCACTTAACCAGGCAACAAAAAGATATATGTTGTATGGTAGCCACAACAGTAAATATACTAAAGTTGTTATAAACAATGTGACAGTCAGTTTTCTTTGTCTTAAAGCAGCTGCACAATGGCGTTGACGATGAGCTCCAAAACGAAACTTAAAGACAATGGACGTGTAAGAAACAAAGATAACAAATAAACATAAACAACAGTGTGATTCCCACAAGTACAGGTGATGTCTAATCAGAAACCATTCTATATCACGAATGACTAATGTAATAACAGGAAAAACCCAGACAACAACAATTGCCACCGCGTAGACCCATCTCTTGATCAGTCGATGCTTAAATGGACGAAAAGTGGCGTGAAATCGCTCTAAAGAAATCACAGCAATGTTTGTCAGAGAGACAAAGGGAAAGAAAAGCAAAAGATTGCGTATTACAATTATAACTTTCAGATATACTAAAGAAACATTTACAAAGTGACAATTGCGAAGCAAATCCAACTGACTGACACTCCCGGAAAGACCTCCAACCAACATGTCAGCCACGGTTAAGCTTATAACCAAGTACATGCTGCGAGTGCGAAGGCTTCTGTTCTTTATAAAAAGAATGATGGAAAGGAGATTCACCGTTACTATAGCAACAAACTCGGCGGTGAATACGGTTGCCCAGATGATGCAGTCGGATGATGAAACAATCATGCTGAGTTATTTTCGTCGATGGTGTTGTTTTTTCTTGAGTTTGTGTTACCCGCTACAGTAACCTGCAAGAACAATAAACTTTGATCATCATCACTGCTAAAGAAAGATCATTATTATTTATTCAAAATATTTCTCCGTTTCTGATATGTATAAAATAACATCAATTTTGCAGCAAAATTGCCAGATTATTGATTTAACCAAGAAGACCTGTGGACGAGGTTGAGTTGTTTTGGTGGTGAGTACAAAATGGCAGAACATTTCACTCGTTTCAGGAGGAAGAAAAAGACGAAATGTTGGCTAAAAACATAGCAAGAACAGCAAGAAGGCAACTCGAAGTATCTGCTATCTGGAGAATATTTACAGACCTGAACGACCCTTTATCTCCTAAACATGCTTAGATGGAGATGCATGATGCATGTTTTAGCTTACTTTTAGACTAGGGGCGCTTTCCATTTAGTCAAAATTTCCGGAATTTCTGGTTCGGCGGTAAATGGAACACGTTTCGTCGGCTCGTCTCATTGGAAAATTCCCAGAAAAAGTGGAAAATCTAAAAAGGTGGGCCCGTTTTCCCGGTTGGAATTTCCGAACGGAATGTCGTGTTCCATTTACCTTTCTCGTAGTTTGTACCAGTTCCAGGTCCACGGTCGGGCACCGAGGCGTACCGGTGTAAGGCCAAATGGAACAACTTTTTAGCAATCGGAAATTCCACTTTTGCTCCCACCGAAATTTCCGGGTTTTTTTCCTAAATGGAAAGCGCCCTAGGAATTACTTTAAATGAACAATAAAAAAAGATATTCAATTCGGCTTTCGTATCATCTGAAGAATTATGGAGATCTCAGAGGGTGTTATCTGTAACATCTGCCTTGATCTCCACAATTCTTCAGATGATATTCAGCCTCATTCAGTGATTGTTAAGTATCTTAAACCTTAGACGAACATGCAAATTCATACCCCCACCGGGGTACAAAGGAGAGGGGGTGGATGGAGCCCCCCCCCGGAGTTTTTTGATATGTTGCAGTATTTTGAAACGATTTTGACTTTAGTGGAAAGCCTTTGATCTTCTTAACAAGAGGAGGTATATTTTATGGGTGGTGGCGCTGCTGGAGGCCTGTGACGTCACCAACACTGGTCGCCATCTTGGATTTTACCAAAAGTTAGAAATAATAAAAAAAGATTTAGAAATCAGGTTCAAACCGCGAGAAATGGTAATTTTTTGTGCTTTACGTGAATAATAACATATAAATAAGCACTTTGCATGATTTTAGCCACAAGATTTACTTTGATTGTTTATAATTTAAGGAAGTTGAAAAAACATGTATTTTCTCCTAAAATTGGTTTGAACACCTGCTACTTATAACGTCATATCTCGTACCATAGCACCTGACCATCTCTAAACTTGTTTCAAAAAGTGCGCAAGGGATGAACGAACAGCTACTGAAAACGTCAGTTGCTGATGTTTTATCCTCAAGGAAAACAACTGAGAAAAACCTTATGGGGGAGGAGAGTGGCATCCACTCCCCCGCCGACCCCGTTGTACATCCGAGGGTTAACTTGTAAGAATACGACTATCGTAAAAAACAATTTCTTTTGTCTGCGAAGATGGAAATTTGTAAACCAACTTAGCATTGAGCTCAAATTGTGTTTGAACACCAAGCGGAACATAAATAAACAAAACTTGAAATGAAATTAAAAAAAAAAAAGACAGATTAAATCAGCTAAAAAGTTAAGCTATATTAGTGTAATTTATTCCGATAGTTGTCAGGTAATCTTAAGCTCAGATAATTGTAAAATTAAATTGGCTGGTGTTCTTTAGGCTTTAACTGCGCTCACTCAATTTCAAGACTTAAAGTGGAGAAGAGGGAATAATCATGACTGAGCTATTCCATTAAAACAAACAGCGACATATATATATCGTCATGGTTACAACATGAACTTACGCTTGTGCCGCAATATGAAGAAGCAAGTTGAAAAAGTATCGTCTATTGGAGAAACACTGGTGTTACTTGAAAACCGTAACAGAAAAATGTTTTGACCAAGGAACCAAGAAATGATGACTGGAAACTCCTTCATTGCTATGGTCAGCAACTCTGGTTTGACTGCTTCCCTGGTATTTTGATAAACCACTACAGTTTGAGAATACGAGGAAGAGATATCTCGCCCATACTGAATTGGCTAAAAACACTGGAATTCCTGATTCAAGTTACTAGAAAGTGCTACTGACAATAACGTGTGCAAATGATCTTTGCAAATCTCCTTGGCACAATCTGCGGGAAACATGTCTGGTTCTAACAAGTTTCTTCTCTCAATGACTGAAACACAGAGGGTACATTTTTGTTAAGTCTGCTTTATTGTATGCCCTTCTCTTCGTAATCGTTAATATTTATTCAATTTATTGTATTTATTTCGGTGTTGGGCATTTTACTTTTACTCAAGGATATATAATGTATAAAAAAGTTTGTTTTTAAAGTAGGTTCGGAAATCAAAAGTTCCATCATATCTCAAATATCTTTTGTTAAGGGACAAAAGATGGTGTTTACAAGCTGTCAGAACAGCTGGACACACTTTAGATTCTACTAGCAAACGTTTGCTGGCTAGTTAAGTCTTTGGCTAAAGATTTATTCACCGACCTCTTGGTTTATTGGTGTTGGGATCAATCAAAAAAATAGAAGCACGGTTAATTGTAGGAAACATCATAAGATTAGTGTGGTTTCAGTCTTTCGCAATTAAAGGTTTAACTGAGGTTAACAAACACCCCTTCAAGCTTACTTAAGAAACATAGAAACAAGTTCGATAGCTGACAGAAATAATAACTTCCCTTAGTATATGTATTCAGCTGTGGAATGAAAAAATAAGCGTGTTCTGTAAACGAAGTTCGTTTATTAAAACCTGAAGATAGTTCTCACTTTCATTTCCAAACTTGAATCATAATCATATTTCTTTATCTCATTAAAATCTTGTTGGCTAACACCTTTTTAGTTCTTTGTTCTCAGTTGGGCTATTTTCAGCTAAATTTTACTTACTTTCCTATTTTCAATCTAGGGTTTCTTTCGACAGAATCTTAGGAGAATTTGGTTTCTTTTAAACCACCGTTTCACCTCCTTGTATAGGAAGTTGGCTATAGAGATACGATATTTTCAGTATCTTTTGTTCTATCAGTTCTACCACCTCCTAGCACCTATTTTTGCGCATAAGAATACTATTGACTTTCTTAGAAACTACTTAACTTAATAGTTTAGTATAAATACAACCACTTTGTAAGCTTAGTTTCGCTTGGAAAATCTTAGTAAATCTAAGAAAATCGCGGAACTTAGAAGAACTGAGAAACTTAGGAATAAACCGTTGTTCAACTAAACTTCCTGTGTACCTCGACTCTCTCAAAATCTGTACCCTTACAGATTTCTGGAGTTTGTAAACCGGGCAGTCAATCGCGGCTAACAACAATACCTCTCGCAGCCTACCTCGATCCTGGCTACTATTACCTCTCGCTACCAACAGTCCAGGATCAACCAAGCTGAATGGGACTATGTGAGTAAAGCGCCAAATTATTTGAACTTACAGTGAGTGGAGTGGTTAAGGAACAAAGCCAGAGATTTTTTACTTAGGTAGAGACGATTTATAAAGTAGCGAATTTTATTGTACTTGTATTTATTTGTCTACTCATATTTATTTAATTAGATGCCCATATCGAAGTTAATTGTTTGTTCCATTTCATCTTGAGTTCTTTTAGTACGCAATTGCGGATTTTAATTTATCTAATGCTGAGTATCGGTAAAATGTTTCGGAAAATCTTGGGCATGTTTCTCTAAGTAAACTGTGAACTATAAGAATAATTGTGTAATGACAAATGACGTAGACTTATGAGAACGTTTCTAAATTGATTACGGAACAAAACGAACTGAATTTTGGAAAATGGAAGGAGCTGATTGAGGAGCTAGCAAAATCTACAGGAAAGGTGCAACATCCTTCTTTTCTAACGGCGAATGACATTCACTTACCAAAATTCTCAGGAGATCATATTCAGGTGAAGATGTAAAACAGTTTCTGAGACAGCTTGATCAAACGGCAACCTTTTAAAGATTTACAAATGTCCAAAAAGCTGAAGTTCTTCTGCTCTTGTTCACTGGCAAAGCAAATGTTTGGTTCTCATCATCGACGCTTTTGGCGGGCAAAACCTATGATCAAAGTAAAAATGAACTAAAGACTAAAATCTTTTCTCTTTTTTTTTCCCTTGGTAATGAAGTTGAGCACATAAAAAGTCGAATTATTTTTTAAGCAGGAAAAATTTGCGGATTACAAAGATGGTGAAAACGTATTCTAGGCCGCTTGGGTAAGAATAAGAATGAAAGTCGTTTAATCTGTTGTAGAACTCATTTGTTAATTTTATTTTTTTAAGAGAATTACCGGACGCATTTTGCGCGCACTAAAATTAGTAAAAGGCATGAATTACACTCAAAGATCGCACCTTTAAATGTAGGACGCACAAATAATACTGAGCTTGTCTTAATAACGGTTTAAGGACGTTCTCTGTAAAGTATTTCTGAAGTTATATTTTTTTGTTCAGAGCGCTCAGTATAAAATCACGACGGATCCGATCAAAAGTGAAACGGTTTTTTCCGCTCGACTCGCAAAATACACACTCCTGCGTTGTGTGCCGCAATAAATCTCACTTGTTAATTTATCATGTCTAGTAGTAGTTACATGTTAGATGAGCAAACAGAAGACGTTTACGCTCCTACGTTTTACTTGACAATGAGCGTCTCGTGGTGAAACTTTCCCCTTAGTATCCCAGTTAAAATAGCAGCGCATCAAGGCAAAAAACCTCTCTCCTTCCCCCTAATATTACAAATTTGTCGCGCTGAAGATTAAACCATCATGCACAGACTGTTTGGTCTGTTTTCGGCAGCAACACCTAGGACAAAAGGCTATTGTTTTGGTGAATTAGACCCGGTACAATAGACCATTTCTTGATACGTCTGTGAAGCATTGATCAAGCAATTTCTTTCAGAATCAGATATCTGGCTGTTAAGACAACAACTTCTAAATAAAAAGCAAAGTGAAAATGAGAGCGTAGCACAGTTTGCATCCGAAATACGAAAACTCTGTTTGCGCTTAGAACTACCAGTCGAGCGACATTTATAGACGGCCTAAAACCTGAATTTAAAAAAGAAAAAAAACCAAAAAAAAAACTACCCAGTTTTGCAGCGACCAAAAACATTTTTCGAAGCAGAGACGTGCGCAAAACTTAAGGAGACAATACTCCTCGGCGAAAAGCCCCTAGACAGGACAGAGGAAATTTAAAGCGCGTTATCAAGATTAAGATTAACTGGTGAACTTACTGAGTGGCTGCATGTGATGAGCAGTTGGCGACCGATAACACAGAAAACAGTTCAGAGACGTTTCTAGGAAGAGAAGAAATTACTCAGATAATTAGACAAGAATTGCAGTCGCAACATTTCTCTGGTCAACGTAAAAGGGGGGAATAATATGCTAGAGGGTACATTTTTGCTCAGTCTGCTTTATTGTATGCGCTTCTCTTCGTAATCATTAATATTTATTCAGTTTATTCTATTTATTTTGGTGTTGGGCATTTACCTTTATTTAGGGATATACAAAAGTTCATTTTTAGGTAGGTTCAGAAATCAAAAGTTCCATCATATCTCAAATATCTTTTGTTAAGGGACAAAGGATGGTGTTTACAAGCTGTCAGAACAGCTGGACACACTTTAGATTCTACTAGCAAACGTTTGCTGGTTAGTTAAGTCTTTGGCTAAAGATTTATTCACCGACCTCTTTATTGGTGTTTGGATCAATTAAAAAATAGAAGTTGGGCGCATGGTTAATTGTAGGAAACTTCATAAGATTAGTGTGGTTTTAGTCTTTGGCAATTAAACTAGTCTAACTGAGGTTAAGAAAAACCCCTTCAAGCTTACGTAAGAATCATAGAAACAAGTTCGGTAGATAGAAATAATAACTTCCCTTAGTATATGTATTCAGCTGTGGAATGGTAAAATAAGCGTGTTCTGTAAACGAAGTTCGTTTATTAAAACCTGAAGGTAGTTATCGCTTTCGTTTCCAAATTTGAATCATAATCATATTTATGTCATTAAATCTTGTTGGGCTTAGGCAACCGAACACCTTTTTTGTTCTTTGTTCTCATTTGGGCTATTTTCAGCTAAATTTTGCTTACTTTCCTATTTTCAAACTAGGGTTACTTTCGACAGAATCTTAGGAAAATTTGGTTTCTTTTAAACCACCGTTTTACCTCCTTGTATACTAATTTGGCTATAGAGATACGATATTTTTTCTATCAGTTCTACCACCCCCTAACACCTATTTTTACACATAAGAATAGTATTGAGCTTTCTTAGAAACTACTTAACTTAATAGTTTAGTATAAATACAGCCACTTTGTAAGCATAACTTCGCTTGGAAAATCTTAGTAAATCAAAGAAAATCGTGGAACTTAGAAGAACCAAGAAGCTTAGGAATAAACCGTTGTTTAACCCCTTACTCGACTTCCTGTGTACCTCGACTCTCTCAAAATCTGTACCCTTACAAAGGATTAAGTTCAAGATCTGTTGATTGGACTCTTTCGTGATTAACAACTGCTTTCAAAGATGTCCCATCCTAGAATTTCCTCTGTGTTTAAAAGAAACTGCAAATACACTGTATGCAAAACGTTTTTAGTCAAAACCTCAAATGCAAGTCAATTGTAATATGGCTTTTAATTGTCTGTAAATTTGATAAGGAGAAAAATGAGAGTACATGAAACGCACGTCCAGTCTTGCTTTTTCTCTGTACTTTCTACATAATTCGAATAATTTCTGCCCCAATTATAAGTAAAAGACACTTTAAACATGGTAGATGAACGAGATAAACATGTTGTTTTCATGATCAGAACTGAAGGATTAACAAACAGACAGATTATATCAAGAATAACATCATGGTGCTTTTCACAAACGACATTCGGCGTCAAAAACAGAGCGATAGATGGGAACGGTTTTTTTTTCTTTATTTGTATATAGAAACAAGCTAAGCCTCATGGTCGACTCAAAGTAGCCTTTAAAGTTTAGAATTGCATTAACAAGGTTTATAATAAAAATGCACCTTACTTGACTGTCAATGTATTTAGCACGAAAGTACTAATTGAGGATACTGTTTTTTACGTATCCTGCCGGAGACAGGATCGCCATTTTACGTGGTCATCCGAGCCACACGAAGGTCTAACCTTTTGCAAGGCAAAGGGAGTACTTTCATTTCTCAGTTATTTTAAGATCCTGAGTATTGGTCCGGCCCCGGGAATCGAACCCGCGACTTCCCGCGCTGCATTCACGCGCTCTACCGACTGAGCTAATCCCGCTTCGGTTATTTCCTGTATAAGATCTCTACTTGACGCCAGTAAGATTAAAATAAAAGTCTATCAATCTATCTTCCTAAGGAAAAAAACTTTTTGAATACTCTCAGGCACACTTTCTTTGAAGTAAGCCACATTTTTAACTTTGATAGTGTATTTTGTATATTAATCGAAGTTGTAGTATTGATCTGTGCAAAGAAACTCAGCCCTAAGAAGTGAAGCTTACCTTAATGAACTGGGGACCGGTTTAGACGCCGTCTGTTTTTCGTTGTTAGTAGAGGAGGAGACTGCTATCAACTACGTTGCAGGAAAAGACGAATACTTGGGGAGAGATCTGAAATTAAATTTGATAAAGCCCTTAGTCTCTTTAAAAAAATGTAAATTGCTCGCTTGTCAGTCTCGCTTGCATAAGCAGTGATGTCAGTGTCGCTTGCGTAAGCAGCGAGACTCATAACCTGCAATTCGCCCCTTATATAAGCTGTATAGGTATGTGCGGCGCTAAAGGGTGCAATTGTGGTTTTTTTAGCCATTTTGGTCTGAAATAGGGTATGGTTTGTGCACTCTAGTCTTGAATTGGGTATGTTTTTTAGACCTGTTAGCTACTTCTTCATCATTTGTAATTGGCGATAAGTCGATTTCCCTTATAATGTTTACGCCAACTACCGTGTGCGCGCCGTAAAAGCTTGTTACGCGCCGGCCTCCAGTGCTTCAGGTCTGAAATAGGGTATCAAATTTTTTATCAAGGTCTCAAATAGGGTAGGGAAAATCCCAGATTTTGGTCTGAAATACAGTAAGGGTTTCAGGAAGCTTGCCGCACACCCCCACCCATTTTGTTTTCTGGATGTACCTCCCTCCAAGATTTTTCGTCGTATTTTGTGCACAAATAGCGGGCTATTGTGCCAGGCGTCCCTTGCGGAGACCGTGGAAACGTAGGGACTAAGAATCGTTGCGTGATCGAGGCTACGCATGTTTTGCGGAGAATGCTTAGGAAAGATTAAAGTACGAGTTTTTCCGAAACGTGTTGGTCCACGAATTATATCGCTTGAAAGCGTTGATTAGTTTGGAACAAGTGAACACTACTGAGTGGTCAGAAAAAAAAAAATGAGTATCTTAATTAGCAAAATTGCGATGGCCGAGTGTTGTAAACTTTCATTGTATGCAAATAGGTCTTGTGATGAGCATGCTATTTATTTTCGGTGATGATTGAAATGACGGACCATGTAAAACACTTTTGGGTCGCTCTTTTTGACCCTCGGACGTACACGCAAATTCATACCTCCACCGTGGTACTAGAGGCGGGGGTTGGGTGGATGGAACCCCTCTCTAGAGATTTTGATATGTTGCAGTATTTTGAAACGATTTTACCTTTAGAGGAAAGCCTTTGATCTTCTTAACAAGATGAGGTATATTTTATAGGTGGTTGCGCTGCTGGAGGCTTGTGACGTCACCAAAAATGGTCGCCATCTTGGCCGCCATCTTAGATTTTACCAAGAATTAGAAATCAGGTTAAAACCGCAAGAAATGGTAGTTTTGTTTGCTTTGCATGAAAATAACACATAAATAAACACTTTGCATGATTTTAGCCACAAGATTTACTTTTATCGTTGAAAGAAGTTGAAAAAACATGTATCTTCACCCAAAATTGGCTTGACCACCTGCTTCTTATGACTTCATATCTTGTAACCATAGCAACTGGCCATTACTAAACTTGGGATGGAGATGTTTTAAAGAGCCTGGTTGTGCTGAACAGTGGATTTACTGAAATTTTCAAAGCTCAGTGTCTCCTTCAAATTGAGGGGGGCTTGTGTCTAGCTGTGTGTCGTCTTGTTGCGACACATCAGCTAGCTGGTATGCATTTGGGGTAGCCTGGTTAATTTCCAGGGGGGATGTGTTGTTTTTAAGGTTTGATGTGTTACTGCACAGGCAAACTAAAAAAAGAGATAATTACTGAGTCGCATTATAGTTGAAAGAAATGCCGGCTGCTTTCTGGGCCTTGCGTCTAAAATAAACTTTACTGTTGATGAAATGTTTCTATGCTCAATTGCTCGCGTTCCTAATGTCTGCTGGGCCTATTATTAGTTACAAAGTTATCACCACAGTTCAAAAACAATCACGCTCTCCGTGGTAATCTTGTAATATTACCTACCGAGTAAACAAGTCGTTAAGAGACATTAAAGGAGGTCCGTTGGCAATTATTGGGCAAACGAGATGCATAAACTTGAACTAAAAAAATCAATCAATCTCAATCAATGAATTTTTGTATTCTCCTTGACAAAAAGGATGGACTTGAATACAATCTATCTACCTTGAATACAAGCCACTAATAATAATAATAATAATAATAATAATAATAATAAGAAGAAGAATGATAACAAAATACTTATTTCAAGAGGAGGCCTCCATCACAAAGAGTGGTTTTCAGGAGGGTCTCTATTACAATTAAAATACTTAAACTAAAATAAAAATAAAAATCCTAAAATGAATTATTAAAATGAGTTGTATAAAAATTAAGAACTATGCAAAAATATGTACATAAAGCTAACCTAAGAAGAATTACCTAAAAATCTTTTCAAATTTCTTTTAAAACTCATGTCCGTGATTGGTCTTTTAAGTTCAATAGGTAGGAAAAATTAAAGCCCAATCGTTAAAAGCTCTAAAATACGTAGTCTGTCTTCCTTGTTCCGTCCGTGGCTTGGGAAGTGTAGGTAGAAAACCATTCCTAGTATTGCACTTGTAAAATCAGAGTGAAATGGCCGAGTGACACAGGGAATCCACTCAATCTTTAAGTGTAACCGTTTGTGAGTTTAAAACAGGTTTAATGAGTTTAACACCCTTATTTATTTATTTCTTTTTCATTTTTAGCCATATTCACTTAAATACCTCCATGGGTCAATGCTAAAAAAATGTTCTATTACCTTTATTACGGCAAATTGTCGTCTTTTGCTTTCTTATATCAGACGAGGCGCACTAACGAATAGACGGCGAACGTCTTCAAATTCCCCCAAATCGCTCAAAATACTAGTATCGTGTCTAGTACTTTTTCTCATTTATATAAACGAATTGCTAGCCCCCCTTTATCTCGAGCTCTTCTGACTGTTTTATGCTGGAAAAAGTCCCGACCAGTCTCCATGTTACTGCTGTTTTAAAAAAGTTGACGTCAATATCTGATTTAGGCAAACAGTAGTTGGCGACTATGAATTAATCTTAAACTAAAGGAAATGGTTTAGGTCAAAAGGAGATTGGCCATTTTACCCCACAAAGATCGTGGACAGTAGTATTATTAAAGTTGTGACAATTGATGAAGCTATTGGCTTGACCACTTCCAATTTATCTCGGCGAGCGCATATCTTAAACATTCATCAAAAAGCCTTTTAGAACTAAGCTTCCTAAAGCCATTGAAATATATTTTGAGCCGTTATACAAGTTCAGTTTTATTCAAATCCTTAGAATATGCTGTTGTGCTTTAGGTCTGCTTAACCTTACGTTTGCTTTTAGAGGCATAAAGTCGTTTCGTTTTTCATCAGTTTTGGAAATGCTGGAAGTGTCTAAACCTATTAAAGACATGCATTTTCAGAATAGCAACAGGAGATCCGAAGCATACTGAACTTTCTTTATTTAATAGTAAGCTGGCCTGTTTTGGAGCAACACTCAGTAGTGCACTATGATATCGGGAGAACAAGGGGTCAGAGTAAAATTTTCTGCCCTTTTTATGGCAGCTGTCGATAATAAACCGCTTGAAGTTGAAGCAGTCACCCACAAATGCAGGCTGGAGAACTATAGCCAGGGTAGTAACTAGCTTTTCGTTGGTTGTAGGCATGGCTGACTTTCATGATTTCTACATATCCTGAAAAACTGCTCGTAAGACTAGTTCGCGCTGACCTCACCAACAATTTGAGCTCTTATCCTTTTTAGCTCACCCCGACAAGGCATAATTCATTACAAGCGATAGAGTGAACAAACCAAAAATTTGTAAACCCGGGCCTACAGGTCTATGGGCTGGTTACGCCCCTGATAGCCTAAGATAAACCTGCGATATATAAAGAAAACATGACTATTTAGTTTTTACCTTTTTCTTCTACATGTAGCAGGTAAGTGATTCTTTCGAGAAGCAGGGTGGTAAACTTGTTTAGACCGAGGATAACATCAATTAATCTGGAGAAAAAAAAAACATGTTACCAGAGTATTAACCAATAAGATCAACTCTTTTTAAGACGTGCTCTCTCGTTTACCACCAAGATAAAAACATCTGTTCTTTAGATCTTGTTCAGGCAAAGTAATGAAATAGAGATAATTACCGAACCGCTTCATAATTTAAAGAAAAAGCTGTTTCATTCTTGGCCTCCTTTGCGTCTCAATACTATGTTACTTCTGATTAAAAAATAATGCTACTCTGCTCGCACTCATATGCTTCACCGATCATTACTCAAAAGTTAATTATTTCTGAGTTTTAGAGCTTTTCTCTTAAAAAAGGAAACATCATGCTCTTCATGTCAATATCACCAAAAGCAAAAAGAACAAAAACAAAACAAAACAAAAAGAAAAAAAAAAAAAAAGAAAAAGAAAAAAAGGAAAAAGAAAGAAAGAGGTCTCCAGGGAGTCGCCAGATTTAAAAAATGAAATTACATATAGCCAGGAAAAACGGCAGCCAACGTACGAAATATTGTGTGAGCTAGCCAGCGTAGCTGCGTGAACTCGGGCTTCACAAGGGTTAATCAATTTTAAATTCTCCGTTGAGTAGGTAGCCATAAACGCCCATGTACTGACTATTGAGTAAGAGCTCAACAGGAAACCCACACATTCCTTTTTATTTAAGGTTTGTAATTTTGGATTTATCTATTGCTTAGCCATATTTCGCTAGATATAAGCAGGGATTAATTTTAAATAAATAATATTATCTCCCATTACCTTACCTAGGATAAATTGTCGTCTTTTTCCTTCTTTTATTAGAAGGGAAAGTCTAGAGTAAACGGTGAACTGAACAATCCTACAACATCGCTCAAAATTTCGCTTTTTTATCCATTGAAACGATTTTCCAACCACTATTTTGACTGTTCAAACTTATGAGGGTTTTTTATGTATTAGCTAACTGACGAGTTATGTCTTAAAAAAAAAAAAAACAAACAAAAACAAAAACACACAAAGAAAAACACCAGGCTGCTTTTCAGACGACATTTAGCGTCAAAAACTGAGCGATAAATGAAAGCATTTTTTTTTGCTTTGCCACCGCAAAAAAGCAAGGTCTTTTACACGTTTTGCCTGCGTAAAAGATATTTTTAAGGGGATGAAACCATTCATTCCTGGTCTTACACGCCTGATTTTACCCTTTCATTGCTTCCTTTATAGAAGAATAAAATTTTAAAAAATCTAATAATCTATCCACCAAAGGATAAAAATTGGCAATTGGCAATTGGCAAATAGAAAAGGTTTATACTACCGGAAAATCAGCCGTTAATTTGCCCCCCCAAGGAAACGGAAAATGGTTTTTAAATGTTATACTCCCTCTCTTAAGCTCCCTCTCTTAAGCTCTGTCTGTTGGATTGACTTTGTAATTAAAAAACTCATTTAACCCTTTTTTGCTGTCTTCAGCCCTTGTGACGTTGTGAACTTTACATTTTGCGCCGAACAAAAACTTAAAGTTATTTGGCCAAGAAAACAAATATTTGGTTTTATGCTTAGTTGTTGGCCTGTGACGTCACCAACAATGGTCGCCATCTTGGCCCCAATCTTGGATTTTACCAAGAATCACTGCGTCGTACCCAGACGTCTCTCTCGATGTGCGCGCAAAGGAAGGCGGGAAGGAGACAACGGGCGAGACGTCTGGCAGATCTTACTTTCAAGATGGCGGCAAGAGTAATGGCGGACCAATATACAATTTTTAAAATAAGTTCAGTCCTGTTCATTTGCGAATTTAGAGCAAATCATTGCCTATCCACGTCGTGTGTGTGAAGAGAAAGCTGTTTTCACCCCACACATTGGACTCAAGCTTCATAATATTTACTACCGAACTACATAATGTTTACTACCGAACTTTATATCGAAAAACTACTAGCCGCGGACGGGACAGTACTGCCTTTAATTTAATGAAACTGCCGCACGCCAAGGTAACAGCCGGTCAGGAAAGTTAGTAAGTTAGTAATCGTTTCTGTTAAGGTCCCCAGTGATGAAACGATCTCTTCAGTCGAAGTGAAAAATGGCGAGCTGAGAATTGTTGCAACAGTCAAATGAAGCCAAATATTTTGTAAAGCTTTAAAATACTATTTGCTGCACGCTGTATCTTGAGTACTCGAAAAGGCAACAAACCAGTCTAGTCTCAAGACCTCTAAGTTATGTTATGAAATAGATGATAAAATGTTTTTTAAATCTGTTAAATTTTTTGTCTCAGGATTTCGCATTGTGTATCATTTGCTCGACAATGTAAGCTTATGTACCGGAAAAACAGCCACAAAACTAGCTCCAGGTTTTTTTTTAATTGTATTTTTTATTGTTCGATTACCTCACTGGGTACTAGACTTGTCACTGAATGCACAGCCCTTTGTAAATAAATTCTACTTACTTTTTATTGGCAAACGTGTGGTAGCATAAAATTCCCCTCAAAAGTCTTCTGAAGGGGTAGTTTTTGACCTGCTTTGGAGTTGCAGAGGAATACAAGATCATCTAATAATTATCAATGGACACAGAATTACCTTGAAATGCAAAAAACGTTAAGATAAGTATAGATGGTTCTGCGTAACTACTAACCCCCAACCCCCTTCCTAGAAATTTTAACTACAAAATTACAATCAAGATACAAGCATCTAATGGAAAGAACAGTAAAAACAGGCCCCTGGACAAACTGGAAGAATATGCAGTGAAAAACACTACACTACACTATTATTAGGCTGATGTCAGGTCTATTAACAGTGTCAAGCAATGCAATGCCAGCTGTTTTAAGTATGGACCAGAAGCTCAGCCATTCAAAACCCTCACCACTTTCCATAGCTTCCACCTCACCCAGAGAAATAAAAAATATTGCTCCTATTCCTTAAAGTAGTGTCACTGGACATTGAATTGATGTATGTTTTCTGAATTTCTGCCGTGATTATTGAACTGAGATGTGGTCAGGTCATTGAGCTATGGTCAGCAAAAGAGAAAACCTGCACCCCTAATCCAACTTAAACTCAATCTGTCTTGCCCAAAGTAATAAAATACTTTGCTCCTATAATTCCTTTATTTTGGACAATGGAAATTAGGTTGATGTGTGTTTTTTGAACTAATACTGCGATAAAAGCATGTGTACAGTTGCCCCTTCCCCTCAGAAAAAAATTGCTGTCCATGGGCTACTGAGATTATTGAACGGGCATGTTACGTTGTCATTGAACTGACTTCTGTTAAAAAAGGGTTAAGCCTTTCCCCCTTCTTTTACATCTGTGTGTCCCAATAAAGTTACATTGAGACCACAGACCTGGAGTTTAAATGAGATGTAGTAGTGTGATCATTGAATCATTGTGTTTTAACTGAACTATGTAGTTTATTCAACCTTTATTCAAACATTTTTAGTCTTGCAATAGGGGTGCCATCATGCCAGACATCTAGGTAAATAAAATTAGTAGTGTAACAATTAATCAAATTCTCGATTAATTGTCATCATGACTGTTCAGTTCAATTCAGGATTCTTTGCTTCCGCATCTCGATTTTGGTTCGGTTTTTGCACACCTTTTCCAGGGTGCCCTCAGTGAGTTAATATATTGTAAAATAAGAATCCAGAACTCTTTAATGTGCGTTTTTGATTGACGAGCAAAGACGATAGCAGTTTGTGCGCCATTTTGAGTTGCCTGGCAAAAATGCTGTCCTTCAACCTCCCCTTGAGAGTTTCCAAATAAGGCAATTAACCATATGCAACACACTCTTTGTCAGGTTCTCAAACATGGCGATGAACCAAGCGACTGTGAATCCTCCTGTCTCTGTTACTATTCTTATATTGAGGATTTAGGGTTGCATACTGTTTACATTACACATTATGTTATAAGAATTAAGAAACATTTACATAATCGAATCAAAATAATCGAAATCGAAAGGCAATACTCGAAATCGAATCAAATCGCAAGGAATATGAATATTTTATTTTTTTACACCCATAAATAAAATGAAATAAAGTTAAAACTAATGATAGCAATAACAAAATCTCCTACAAAAGATAAAATCGATAAATATATTTTAGCATTAATTATTGTACAATATATAGAGGATATTACATGGCTGCGCGGAGATACAAAATTTCCCTCTGAGTGGTGTTGAAAAATATTTCATGTGTGAGCGCAGCGAACACGTGAAATATTTTTTCAACACGAGAAGAGAAATTTCGTATCTCCAAGCGGCCATGTAATGTTCCATTTATTATATAAACACCAATGAAATACCAAACCATTTCACTTTAATAGTTTTTGGGTGTGAAAGGCGCGATTCATTATGTAGCCATAGCAAAGGTCATATTTTCACATGTGACTTAACATGTTATTTTCACATGTGAAGATATCAAGTTTTCGTGTGAAAGCTCACCTAGTATTTAACCTGGTATTTCAAATACTAAAAAAATTAAGCTAGAAAAGACTGCCTTTATATTTGCTTCCCTCATCAAGTTTGGAGAGAGGTAGTCCAAAATGATGGATTGATCAATGCTGGCACCTTCCTTCTTTTCAACCCCTTCCCTGATCCGAAAATAAAGTTCATTACTTATCTCTCGAGAATCTAGGGATCTTATATCGAGAGTTAGGAATTTTAAGCTTCAACAAGTTATGCATTTTTATTTATTTTGTCAAAAGCGTCTACTGAAATATATCCATCTGTCCCTGGTTTCATAGTAAGTAACGTCGCAGACTTAAATCTTGGTGTAAGGACATAATGTGGTCTTGATAATCAACTCCTGACCTTGCACAATCTAGCTAGGCCTTGCACTTCTTTCAATTCACAAGGTTACTTGCTCGTTGTTCGGTGGATTTGGCCTAAAAGAGCGAAAAATAGATTCATAATCGCCGGCGCTGTACTTTACTTATCCGGATTCTGCAATAAACGACAAGTCAAACACTAAAATATAAGACTTACCCGATACCGTCAAGTCATCAAATATTTTGTTAGAGGTCTTCGATTCGTAAGAATCCAGCAGAATCTGACTCCTTTGCAGCCTGTCGGTTATTTCTACCTCAGGTTTTGAAATTTTGAGCCATTCACCTGTCTACTCAAAGTTTACAATGTTTACAACAATTGATCGCTTCCAAGACTTGAAAAGACCAAAAATTGGGCCGTGCCAAGAAAACGACTTTTTGCCAAGAAAACGACACAAGATCTGGCAGGCGCTTCGCCTGCCGTCTGTACCCTTCCCATGGTCCCTTGCGGTGTATCACCAGTCACTCGTTTCGCGCTCGCCTCTGCCATGCGAAAAACGAAGCGCCTGAGGAGGAGGCTGCAAGAATCAGGTTAAACCTGCGAGAAATGGTAGTTTTTGTGCTTTGCATGAAAATAACACATAAATAAACACTTTACATGACTTTAGCGACAAGGTTTAGTGTTATTGTTGAAAGACCACTGACCACCAGCTTCTTATTACGTCATGTGTCGTCATTATAGCAACTGACCATCGCTAAACTTGTCTCAAAATGTGCTCGAAGGATGAGCAGCTACTGAAAACGTGAGGTGCTGATATTTTATCCTTGAGGAAAGAGAGATTCAGGTAAGTAAAGAGCTGTAAAACCAGGAAAAGCACAGGGGCGGATCTATGGGGAGGGTGCAGGGGGTGCGCCCCCCGAGATGACCTGCGAAATTCTAATACAACTGGTATTCTGCAAAAACAAAAAACTATGTGGTTTATTGGTGTTGAAGTAGAGCAAGAGAATAGAACACCCCCTCCTAAAAAAAAGTCCTGGATCCGCCCTTGAAGCAGAATATAAGTTACCGCGTGGTCTAACGATCCGCAGTCTACATCCTAATAACATCATGTTAAAGTCCACTGATATAGTTAAGATTACTTTCACCTAGCTGATGTTTTGCCTTTACTCCGAGATCAGGGATGCTATTATTACCACGTTTTTCCTGCCAGAGGAGGCACGCTATCATGAGCCGTGGATCAAAATAGACCTTTTTGCCAATAAGGCAGCCATATTGTATTTATTAGATGTAAGGAGCATTATGGTACGTGACCGAGCGGTTGACATCTCGAACTCTGGATCTGGAGGTCCAGGGTTCAAGCCTCGCCCGCCACGTTGTTTCCTTAGACAAGGAACTTTACTCCAGTTTGTCTCTCTTCACCCGGGTGTATAATTGGGCACCGGCGACATACTGCTGGGGGGTAACCCTGCAATAGACTTTCATCCCATCCAAAATGCCACGGAATTAAACTGGAAAGAAACTCCGTCCCTGTAGGCCTTTGGCTCGTGTGCGCCTTTACCTTTACTTATGGTATCCCCAGGGGGCACTCGCTTATTCTTTACGCGCGCTTTCTGGGCAAAAAGAGAACTTCACTGTATATTTCTCGGGAAAAAGGCGATCATTATTACATCCAAACACGGCACAACGATCTTTTTTTCCCATGACAATCTTTTCCTTGGAAAACTTAAAGAAGATTGGTCCGAAAAGCGCGCGTAAATAGGGAGCGAGTATATCGAATCGTGCACATGGTCCTATAACACTCCTTAAATCTCATTAATTCAAAATAGCCGCCATAGCGGTAAAAAGTTTTATTAGAAAAGCTAGGCAAAACGCCGAAAGTCATTGGTATGTGATAGATCAGTGGGACGAATATCGAGAAATTGGCCATGGCGATAATCTAGTTGTAATACAACACAAATATAAAGATTATGTGGCATATATCATATTGCTACGGCAAGTGGAAAAAATGCAACCATTTCAGTTGATATTTTCTTTTGGCATTTTTGAACAACAAATAATAATTTCGTGGTCGCAAGTAATGAAAATTCAATCGCCCATGTTTTCAGTCTTCCTCTTTTTTGGTCGAGGGGGAACAGATTGGGCTTATTGTCATGCACTTGCACGAAGTGCAACGACTTCGTAAGATAAAAGATGAGCGCGTAATTTTAACCTTCGGAGGTGCAAGTGGGAGTTGATGCCACCCCTCTAAGGTTTTGCTGATCTGAGTTTTCTCTTAGAGGATAAAACATCAGCACCTGACGTGTCCAGTAGCTGTTCGTTCATCGTACAGGCGCATTTTGGGTCAAGTTCAGTAATGGTCAGTTTCTAGGGCTACGAGATATGACTTCATAAGTAGGAGGTGGTCAAGCCATTTTTGAGTGAAAGTACAAGTAATGTTTTTTCAACTTTTTTCAACAATAAAAGTAAATATTGTGGCTAAAATCATACAAAGTGCTTATTTGTGTGTTATGTTTCATGTCAAGCCCAACAAAAATCACCATTTCTCGGCTTTAACCTGACTTCTAATTCTTGGTGAAATCCAAGACGGTGGGCAAGATGGCAACCATTGTTGGTGTCTTTTAGAGAAGATAAAAGGCTTTCCACTGAAAATAAAATCGTTTCGCAATACTGCCACAAAACGAAAACTCTAGGGGGTGGGGTTTCTATCCCCCCCTCCCCTTGTACCACGATAGGGGGATTTTCAGAGCAATAGCAATAATAACTCTTTGGAAATTTAAATCAAATTTCATATCAAAACTCTTTGCATGTTTTTTTTTTGGGCCGCAACTTGAAAACATTGCAGCTTATAAACAAAATTTTTCAAATCGACCAGGGGTGGGGGCGAGAGGGAGTAATTAAGCAAGGTTTCATATCTTGCTTGGAACTCATGCTTTAGTCGGGACGACACCTTCGGGAGTCTCAAAATTTGAGTTTTCCGACCATTGTGTGGCCTAGAATTGAGTTTCAAAGCTTCAAGAGCTTCCACTGCAGAAGAAGACACTCGATCAGGTGGCCTTAAATCAGAGGGACGTTTTTATTGCTATTCTTTTCTTCTTTCTCTGTTTTTTTTTTTTTTTTTTTTTTACGCTGGAAGTGCTATATAGTTGCACAAGTTCAGTTTAATGTATGGTTTGTTTGCTTTTGAAAAGTTGTTTTAATTTAGCAATGCTAATTTAAAGGCTTTTTTTTTTCTCTCACTCTGTGGACATCATTAAACTCATTGATGCCAGCCGTGATAAGAAAGCCAATGTCGAACTTAAAAGAGATATTGGGTGGGGGCATTTTCTCACCTCGAGGGCGGATGAAACCCACCTCGCTTTTTCATTGGAAAATTCGAAATTCGGTTTTCCATATCTAAAAGGCTGATTTCTCAATTGAACACACTTTTTAAAGATTTCTTGTCTAATCTTTATTTGTTCTGACACTTCCTCCAAATATAGGCTACTGTAGCCTTTGCTTCTATGTATACATACATTAACAGTCTCTTCAACTTCTCTTAATTCATAGCGATTTACAAGGTGCACTATGTTTTTTAAAAATGATAATAATAACAATAATAATACAATAAACTGTTTAAAAATCACCATTGCATTTAAAAAACGGAATTGTAGGGATAAAATACAAGCTTCAAAAATTACACTATGTAACAATGCTATACATATATATTACTACTAAGCATTTACATACTGTACACTTTTCTAAGAGGCGCTTTGAGGCCTTCTAAAAATTTTTAATCGATGTGACAGTTCCACCGTAGATAGTTGCTGATATACACTCCGAGGAGTTTACAGATGGGGACGCGATCCACAAAGGTATTGCCAATAATGATGGCTGTCAATACAAAGTTATGATTCTGCATGAAATTAACTAAATAAACATTGCCTTGCACTTTTTAGGGTTTAAACTCATATTGTGGTCACTAAATTGTTAGTGATATTAGCAAATATTACTATTATCATTTTGTCCATACCCCCCCCTCTTAGTTAAGATTTAGTGCAGTAGCAACATTTTCTCTTTGATGACATCTGAAAAATGAGAGCAGAGCTTTCTTAAAGTCCGGCATCCTGATTGCGTATAAAATGGGATTTACAAGAGAGTTTGCATAAAACAAAAAACGCATTAAATAACCCCAACTTACACCTTCCCAACTTACACCTTCTGGATAAGTAATACTGTAATTACAAATACCAGTTAACCAGGCAACAAAAAGGTATATACCGTATGGTAGCCACAACAGCAAAGATACTAAAATTGTTATAAACAATGTGACAGTCAGTTTTCTTTGTTTTAAAGCAGCTGCACAATGGCGCTGAGGATGAGCTCCAAATCGAAACTTAACGAGAATGGACGTGTAAGAAACAAAGGTAACAATTAAACATAAACAACAGTGTGATTCCCACAAGTACAGGTGATGTCTAATCAGAATCCATTCTATATCCCGAATGACTACTGTAATAACAGGAAAAACCCACACAACAACAATTGCCACCACGTAGACCCTTCTCTTGATAAGTCGATGGCTAAATGGACGAAACGTGGCGTGAAATCGCTCTAAAGAAATCACAGCAATGTTTGTCAGAGAGACAAAGGGAAAGAAAAGCCAAATATTGCGTAAAGTGATATTAACTTTCAGATATACTAAATAAGAATTTACAAAGTGACAATTGCGCAGCAAATCCAACTGACTCACGCTCCCGGAAAGACCTCCAGCCAACATGTCAGCCACGATTAAGCTTATAACCAAGTACATGCTGCGAGTACGAAGGCTTCTGTTCTTTATAAAAATAATGATGGAAAGGAGGTTCGCCGTTACTATAGCAACAAACTCGGCGGTGAATACTGTAAACCAGATAGTGCACTCGGATGATAAAGCAACCATGCTGAGTTATTTTCGTTGTTGGTGTTGTTTTTTCTTGAGTTTGTGTTACCCACCACAGTAACCTGCAAGAACAATAAACTTTGGTCAGTGCTAAAGAAAGATCATTATTATTCATTCAAAATATTTCTCCTTTTCTGATTGGCAAAAACCCTACGCATGATTCATCACCAAAATTGGAGGAATTTTGTGTAAAATGCCATCAATTGTGCAGCAAAATTGCCAAATTATTGAACATTTAACTAAGAACACCTGGGCACGAGGTTGGGTTGTTTTGGTGGTGAGTACAAAAAAGGCAGAACATTTCACTCGTTTCAGGAGGACGAAAAAGGCGAAATGCTGGCTAAAAACATAGCAAGAATTTAACGGCAAGAAGACAACTCGACGCACAGCATCTGCTATCGGGAGAATAGTTACAGAATTGAACGATCCATTATTTCCTAGACATGCACTATCGAAGATGAACTTAGATGGAGGTATGCATGTTTAAGCTTACTTTTAGACTAGGAATTATTTTGAATGAATAATAACAAGAGCCATAATGGCTCTTGATAATAATAAAAAACTTACTTAATTCGGCTCTCGTATCATCTGAAGAATTATGGAGATCTCGGAGGGTGTTATCTGCAACATTCCTCCTCTCTCTCCACAATTCCTCAGATAATACTCAGCCTCATTCAATAGTTATATCTCTAACCGTGGGTTATCTTCTTTAACTTGATCATTATCTCAAATCTTAATTCAAACGTGCATAAACCAGCCTCATAAACTGCGCTCGGCTTCATGAAATTAGATATATTAAAAAAAAAAAAACAAACAAACAAACACAAATTACTCAATAATTACTCAGGCTTACAATTCGAGATACAGCTCCTGGAAGCTATCAAGTATGGCCAGAATCGCTTCAGACTTTTCAATCAAGCAAGGTGAAAAACGAAAACGAATCGATGCCATCCGAAATCGGATTTCCGACTTTGACAAGCCACGGATTTCTCAACCAAAAACCCAATAAACAAAAGATGCAGATGCACGTATATTAGAAAAAAGCAGAAAAGATCTGTTGCTTGGAGTTTCCTGCATAAATTTTTTCCGCATGATCAACCAAAGCATAACAATTGACGTTTGACCATGTTGAGAAAGTCAAATATCCCATCCTGAATTTTGCGTCCGAGGTCAGTTTGAAATCAAAATTTTAATCTGCACTTAAACACAACGTTAAAAATCATTTGAAAAAAATCAGCGGCAAACAGGCCGACACCTGAAATAATTCAGAAAACTGTGAATTGATTTTCATTATGTGTGCAATATCAGTAATGCTCCCAAAAAACAAATTGAACATCGCTTTATTTTCCCTGAAGTCAACGGTCTCGTGAATACCAAATTTTCGATGGTGCTCCGCTACAAACGGTCATAACTTTTAAAATACTGAAAGCGCACAATTTCTCAATCTGATCTATCTTTTTTCGTCTATTTGGAACTTTCAGAGGTCCCAAACGGACAAAATATAAGAAAACGTCTTTTCAGCTAAATTTAGCGAATAAAACACAAGCATTTCTAGTCCTTCAGATGGGTTCAGACATTTTACAACGCGGTAAAAAATGCCTAACTTTCAATTTTCAAGACTTGGAGGGCGGGACAAAATAATTCAAACCAAACCGAATAGCCTTTTTTGCCAGATGAGGTTCAGGCAAAATTATTTTTCACTCGAAATTGAGTGGGCGGTTTTTACAACTATACAGAAGCAAACGTTCGAAAATGAAAAGCAGCTGTGTTTTGTTTATAAGTCGATTGGTATAAATTTCGTCGGTTGGCGGACAGAACTGGCAGCTATATTGTAATAAAGGACTAAAACAAGATGCAGTGCACGATTCAAATCTGTTGCTTGGACCCTTTCATGATTGCTTTCAAAAGATATCCCATCCTTTATGATCAAAAGTCAACAAAAACAAAGGCTCAAAATCGATGGCTTTTATTTAGGACAAAATATAAAAATGAAACACAAGTCTAGTCCTTCGTGTTCTGGTACTTTTAAATTTTATTTAAGTAAAAAGACATCTTAAACATGATTGTCAAGATAAATTTAAAAACTAAAGGGCGTTTTATTTGGCGTCAAAAACAGGGCGATACATGGAAACGATTATAATCTTTTTTTCTTTATTTGTGTTTAGAAACAAGTTTAGCCTGCGTGGCAGATATTTAAAGAGAATATAACCCTTCATTCCTGGTTTTAAACGCTTGATTTTACCCTTCCTCCTTCTCTTTATAGAACCAATTTCCTGCTTGTGCCTTCTATTTGAAAAGCTGGCTTAGCTAATTATCATTTGCTGTATAACATCTCTTCTTCACGCCAGTAAGAGTGAAAATAAAAATCTAACCATCTATTCTCCAGAGAAGGAAAACTTTTTGAGCACTCTCAGGGACACTCTCTTTCAACTGAGCATAAGCTATATTTTTAACTTAACAGGATCTGACAGTGTATTTTGTATATTCATCGAGCTTGTAGTATTGATGCAACGAAACTCAGCCGTCAGAAATAAAGCACTGGCCGGCTTATCTTAATAAACTGATCACCTGTTTAGACGCCGTCTGTTTTTTATTGTTAGGGAGCTTTGTAAGCAACAACGACGGCGACGTCTTTGAAATCGTCACTTAAAAAGTGAAGTCACGCTGTCTCAAACTTTCTCGCGCTTACTCGGTGTCTCATTCAATTCGTCAAATGTTGGCAATTTTTTTTTCCTGGAGATGAATTCTAAAAGACTGTATCGAAGTTCAGGAAGAGAAGAAGAAAGTCGTTGCCTTGTGTTCACGTCCTCTTCAAAACGCGAAATTAGGCATTTTCACGTTGTAGTCGTGCAGTGACAATAAGAAATGTACAAAAAAGCCTGATGCACGTGCAAAGTTGTTGTTTTACTAAATAAATCTAAACTATTGCATTTTTGCCGTTCCCGTTTCCGTAGCCGTCCTCGTTGCTTAAAATTTTTAACTGCTCGCAAAATTTTACCTTTGTTCGATTTTATTTTAAATTTAAACGAGTGCTCGCTTGCTCGTGCTCCCAAATTCTTTGCAGTTGCTCGCAAGCTCGCTTTCTTGCCAGTATTGCTCGAAATTTTGTAAATCCTTCTTTGGGTTAAAGTAAATGTAATTCTGTATGGTGCTTAATTCCTATAAATATGGCTATCAAGTTCAGTGGAAATGCACGCGATGAATGACAACGATAAATAATGAATTAGCTAATCTAGCTATATATGGTTATACATGGTTGTTATATATGGTTGTTCTTCTTGTTCGTCATTTAGCATCAAAAGCGACTGTAATTGGTTAGATCTCGATAAGGTGTCACTCCAACTAGCTTCAAAGAACTTGGTGCACTCCAAATTAAAACCCCGTTTGAAAATATTTTCTGTTCTATTTTGAAGAAAAGGATTTCCATATGGATTGCTGCAAGCGGAAAATATAAGAAGTGTCCGCTGCTCTCGAGTTGTACTCTCTAAACTGCTCGCGGCTCGGAAAACAAATTTTTTATCTCTGCTCGTGCTCGCAAAAAAATCGCAATGCTCGGTGTTCTAGCGAATGCCCGCAAAGACCATCCGTCACCCCTAGCATTGATAATAGACCACTAGTTGAATTTTACTAAAACCCTTTATTCCCGGTCTTATACGCCTGCTTCTACCCTTCCTCCCTCCCTTTATAGAGCCAATTTATTGCTTGTGCCTTCCATTTGAAAAGCTGGATTAGCTAATAAGTATTTCCTGTATAAGATCTCTACTAGATATAATTAAGACTAAAATAAAAATCTAACAATCTATCCTCCAAAGGACAAAAACTTTTTTGGGAACTCTCAGGTTCAAGGACACTTTGTTTGAACTTGGACACATTTTTAACTTTAGAGGATCTGACTGTGTTTTTTGTATATTCACCGAACTTGTTGTATTAATACAAAGGAATTCAGCTTTCAGAATTGAAGCACTGGCCTACCTTGTCAGTGAATTGGTCACCTGTTTAGACGCCGTCTGTTTTCCTTTGTTAGCAGAGGAATCCGCTATCAACTAGGGTTGCAGAAAAAGACAAAATCTTAGGGAGAAATCTAAAATAAACTTTGATAAAAGCCGTTAATTAGTCCTTTTGAAAAATGTAAACTGGTCGCTTGTGTTATAAAACTGTTCACAAAAGCTCAAATTTAGCTACCAAAATTAAAAGGAAGCCGGTTGTGGGTGTTCTGTGGCCACTTTAAAATATCAAGAATTTATATTTTCTCTTTACCTAAACAATTCGATGCCAATGTATGTAACTTGACGTAACATATTCTACTGGAAATTATATTTACCTTCTTTCAAAAGGACGCTGGCAGTTAAAAAAAAGACAAAACAAAAACAGCAAAACGAAGACTGACCGGCGATATAAACAAGTGGAGCCAGACAAGGTTTAATGTATTCTGACTTGTTTGAGTTTCTTTGTCGATCACAAAGGCACTTGCCACTGTTTAATACTTTGGCTAAAAATGATAAGTATCTGAGCTTTACTTCTTGGCACGTATTATTTTATGTGTAAAGGTGTTTGTTACTAGTTAAGGCTAGTAAGGGTGTATGTTACCAATGTTTTCGGGTAGAAAAGAAATTCCTTGTTACTTTTGCGATTTTTGCGAAATTTGAGGCCTTCTCGAGTCCCCTATTGGCCTGTTTTTCTCTAAGTCTAGAATTTTGTTGAATTTGTTCTTCTTGCTATTTTTGAGGTATTCAGGTATTTGTTACTAGGTGTTTTTAGGTAGCAAGTAAAATCCTAGTTACTTTTGCGCTGTTAATCTTGCGGGATTTTCGGGGCCCTTTTTCGCCTTTTCTTTCTGTAAGTCTAGAATTTTGTTAAATTGGTTATTTTGCAAGTCTTGTGATACTTTTGAAACTTCACTTATTCTACTGGAATTAAACTGTCTTACCTTCTTTAAAAAGGACGCTAGCAGTTTTTAAAAAGGGCAAAATGAAGACTGGTCGGCGTTATGAACGAGTGTA